ACACGTTTGAAAAAAATAACACACGTAAATTGAAAGAAAAAAATATTTCTATTTTATTTTTTAAAGAGTATGATTACTTACTAATGGGCTGTGTGTCCCTGCTGGGGACTACATAGATTCTCAAACCTTGGAATCAGATTAGACTCCACCACCTTCATTTCCTGTGTTCTGCATTGATTTCCACACCACGTTTGCTTTTTATCACAGCAGGTACTGAAAACTCAGTTCACAAAGACAGGATGTATTTGAAAGAAATATTGCTTGATCCAGTGCTGAAACCATCAGCCACCTAGAGTGAGTAGTTGTGAGTAGTTGTATGAGTAGCATCTGACAGATGTCAGCTATCACTGGGTTTCCCTCCAAAACGTAAAACATTTTGCTGTACCCCTGTGAGTTCACTGTGGTACCCCAAGGTGCCTCGAAACACAGTTTGGGAACTGCAGATTTACACTAACCTAATTTACAGAAGGCCTGTGTTCAAACCAGGATGCCAGAGTTAGATCACCATGGGGGTCATGCCATTCTCTCTCCCTTTGTTCAGTCCTCACATCCCTGGGAAGCCAGGTTAGCATCAGAATGTGCTTGGCAGGTGGGCAGTCAGAGCAAGGGGGTGGACTCTGGACTCTGGTCGGCCAGTCCGTCTGGACTCTTCTGATGCTTGGGATTGCGGCTGCTTCCCACGAGGAACCCTCTCTGGGGCTTGGCCTGCTCCCAGCATCAGAGACACAGGCGTCATCCATTTAACAAGCACTCATGGCTCTTTCTGGGTGCCAGACTCTGTTCCAAGAGCTTTACAAATACAAGGTCATTAAATCCTCCCTATAGTCCTGTGGAACAGGCATAATATTATTCCCATTTTACAGATGAAAAAGCTGAGGCACAAGGAAGTTAAATAGACCCTTCCCAAGGTTCCCAGAGCTAGGAAGTGGTGGAGCTGGGATTTGAACCCAAGTGGCCCATACTCTCTCCGGACCTGCTTTTCCCCTAAGGGGATGAGAGAAACCTGGCTTCACAGCCCGCTGTGCTGCTTTCTGACTCACTGTTGGGAAGTGAGGCACTAAACCTTTCCTTCCGCTGTGAAATGGGTGCAGTAGACTCCCCGTCAGGGCCATTGAAAGAATTACAGCAGATTATGCTTGTAAAGCACCAGGCTCAGGGTAGCAGCACAGAAGGGGCCCTTCTTTCTATCTCTGATCTCTGCGTCCCGGGCTCGCCTCCCCTCCCGTGTACACAATCTGGCAGACAGCAGGGGGCAGCACTGGGCCGCTGAAGAACCTTCTCTCCTGGACCTGGAGGCGCTCACCATTCAACGCAAGGATTCTGGATTTTAGGGCCGGACCATCTGTTTCTTGTCTATTTAGGCAGAACATTTTTTTTTGGGGGGGGGGGTTGCTAAACAAGAACAAAATCACAGTCTGGTGGGATGAATCGAAAAGAGAGTGAAGAAGCAAATTCAGAAGTACCTTTTCTGTAAGATCACAGCCTGCCTTGTGTGCTCTCAGGGGAACAGCATCCTCTAAAGACCCAGGGCTGTGCTCACCGATGCTGCTTGATTTGAGCTGTCATCCTAAGATATTTCTGAAGTGAAAAAGGGTGCTTCCTGATACATGAGCCTCCCATCCCACCCCACCCCACCCCCACTACTGGATTGTCCCTTGGAAAATACTCGAGAACCCATTGCTGCTAGAGGTTTACTTGGCATCTCTCCGAGGAGGAGCTGCTTTAAAAATATTCCCTCACTTCAACTGAGGGCAAAAAATGTCCTTCACAGAAATATACGCATCCTATGTCTTTTTTTTCTTTTCTTTTCTTTTGGCCACGAAGCTTGCAGAATCTCAGTTCCCTGACCAGGGATTGAACCCAGGCCACGGCAGTGAAAGCGCCGAATCCTAACCACTAGACCACCAGGGAAGTCCCCCTACATCCTTCTTTGGTTTTTGGAATGGGGTCCTACCAGGTTTCTTTGGGGGAGAATTCTGTCCTGTTCAAATGGAAAGCCACAATCCAGCGTTTTGGTGACCCGTGCCCTGTCCTACAGTAACCAGATGGAGAGGCCACCTTGGCAGTGGCCTCTGCCCATCCGAGCTGCCAGAACGGATGGCTGGCCTGTCTGGGCCTGGTGGGGCTCTTGTGGACAGCTGAGCTTGAGGGATGCCCTTCCTTTTGTGTCATAACTTGCACAAGCGCAGGACACCCAGGGCCTGGAGTCTCCAGCTGTCCCATGATGCTGGCTGGTCCACACTCCCACACTTTCCACTGCCCCCATGTGGGGGAGGGCTAACAGAACCCTCTCAACACAAGCTTTTTTTTTTTTTAATTTTATTTTTGGCTGAGTTGGGTCTTCGTTGCTGTGCACGGGCTTTCTCTAGTTGTGGCGAGTGGGGGCTACTCTTCGTTGCGGTGCGCGGGCTTCTCATTGCGGTGGCTTCTCTTGTTGCAGAGCACGGGCTCTAGGCATGCGAGCTTCAGTAGTTGCAGCACGCGAGCTCAGTAGTTGTGGCACACGGGCCCTAGAGCACACGGGCCTCAGTAGCTGCAGCACATGGGCTCAGTAGTTGCGGCGTGCGGGCTCTAGAGCGCAGGCTCAGTAGTTGTGGCGTACAAGCTTAGTTGCTCCACAGCATGTGGGATCTTCCCAGACCAGAGATTGAACCCTTGTTCCCTGCACTGTCAGGCAGATTCTTAACCACTGCGTTACCAGTGGTTAAGTCCCAACACAAGCTTTAAAGCTCACTGGTTGTTTCTTTCCAGTGATACTAAAAGCTTGGTCCTTTGACCTATTCAGTATTAATTATCCTTTTCATTGTTCAATCTGTAGGGGGTGGAGCAGTGATTATTACATTGAATGGGGGGGGGGTATTTAATTTGCATGGAAGGAGGCATGTTATCATGGGGGCACTGCTGGGGGTCAGAGTGATGGCTAGGACTATGGAAGGGGCGTCAGAAGAGTAGTTGCAGCACCCCTGGCAAGAGAATTGTGTTCTGTCTCCGTGCCCCTTTCTTTTGGGACAGGCTGAGTAGTTAGTTTACTTGCTGAGGCATCTTTAGAGTGCCAGTGGCTGACCAGGGGCTCCCCTCAGCCTGCAGCCTCGACAGAAAGATAGAGCTGGCTTCATGATTTTGTCCTGAAGCAGAAAGCGCTTCAGTCTACCTCAGGTATAGCTCTTGCCTTGGACACCCCCTGTCCACACCCCTGCCCCTGTGTCTTTCTCAGCATCACTTCCTGCTTTGCTTTCCCCCATCTACCGAAGAGGACCGAAGCCAGGACTAGCTCTGCTCCCTAACTCTGCCCAGCTAAGGCCTAATTCCTCCTAATTCTAGCCCATACTTGAAAGAGCACCACGTTCTAGACTTTTCCAAAAACACCCCACCTTTCTCAATTTTCTCTGGTCGGGTATCTCAACCTAAGTTGTGACAAACCAGAGCCAGTGTTTTAACAAAGTGGATTCTGCTGCTGTCCAGATTCCTATAAACGGGAATAACTGTGAGACCGGAGGTCATCGGCTGGGTACAGGAGCAGCTATTTTGAGGCCCTTGAGCTTCTAGATTGCTCCATATCAGAGTAGGATTTCACTGAGGGTGGATTCAGCCCCATTCCTTTGATAGAAACCATCCTCTTTTCATCCTGTCCTTCATTAAACAACATTCCTTATAAGCCATCTTTAAGTGATTGCTTTGGGGTTCTGGGCTCTTGTCTGTAAATGAGGAAGACGTGGCTCCTTCGCCAGGTATCTAAAACACAGTTAAGGTGTCTATAGTTTCCTCCACAAGTCAGTGAGCTCCAGGAAGGCCTGGATTGTTGACACTTTACTTCAGTGCTGAGTCCCCATCCCCGAGAATGCTTCTTGGCACACAGAAGGAACTCAATAAGTATTGACTGAGTGGATGAATATCTGAGCAGTTCCATGATGACGTCACTGGGAGATTTCAGGCTGGGTTAGTCTACCCTGCGAACAGAGCAGAACTGTCCTCCACTGAGCTCAGCTTCCCTCTGGTTGAATCCATTTCCTACCTTGTTCCTCGTGTGCCCACATGGGCCTGTTAGTACCCACACTCCAGGCTGTCTGCTTAGGTTGAACTGACCCATGTATTGATTGTCCCCACAGGCAGCCAGCTTCCTAAGAAAAAGCCACTTCTTTACTCTTATTTTTTTATTTCCAGGGCCTTGTGAGTTATCAGTGCTCAAGTTGAAATTTAGTTAAATACAGACAGCCTGGGAGTTTTTAGTTTGGGCTCAGTGCTTTTCCAGAAAGACCAAAAGGTTTGTGCAAAATTCCAGATACTATATCCATCAGATACGTTACTTAGTCACATACCTACAGAAGAGCTTGAGGCCTGAACAGCTGTTACAACAACAGAAAGCATTTTCAAAAATATGGGAGCGGGGGGGGGGACTGCAAAACTGAAATTAATAAAATGTTTAATTAAATGTGCTCAAAGCATACCATTATGTCAGCTTTGTTGTTTGCTAAATTTAATGCCTGTAAACATTTCATTACATCTGAGAATAATTTGTGGCTTCAACTTTTCTCGCTTCACAAGAATTCCTGAGTTTGCACAATGAGCGCTGAGAAATCTTCACCAACCGTAAATTAATTGAATTACATAAAGCCAAATAAATGCGAAAGCAAAATTATAAAAATCCTTCCAAAAATGTTTATGGAAGAAAAACTATTTCATGATAGACATGGACGTATTTTAATAGGTTTAGTATGATATGGGGTGGAGTCCTCTAAAAGTAACTGTACGTGGAGCCCACAAATATTTCAGAGCAACCTATTGAAACTATAGAATTCCTGCATGATAGTGCTTCAGTAGAGTTTCCAAAACTTAGAAATACTAGCTTTCCCCTCTAGGATTTTTAGACTAATTCCTCTAATGTCATTTGTCTAATCAGACCTCTCATCTGATCAATGTAAAACAGTTTTCTTCAGCTTTGGCAATTTTGCTCAATAAATGGCTTCTGCTTTTAATCTAATCTTGCTTTCATCTTCTTTCAGGGATCCTGTTCACGATGCTGGTGTTTGGACCAGCCTGTGGATTTATCCTGGGCTCTTTCTGTACCAAAATCTATGTGGATGCAGTCTTCATTGACACAAGTAAGGAATTTATCTCAATTTCCAAGCGCCACCCAAAAGCCCTTCCTCCATCATAAAGGAGCCCCAGCCTCTGGGTTCTAAAACCTTCCTACTAAGCAGCAGCCTTAATGCATCCACTTCTCAAGCTGGTGGCCCCGTTGAGATTAGAGGAAAGATTGAGTCATGAATTTGGTACAGAGGGTCTGGCTTGAAGCATGTGTTCTGCTCGTGTCTACCTAGAGACTGAATAACCCCCTGGGGTTGATTTCACTCCTCAAATCTGAATTTTCCTCGTCTGTAAACTCAGGGTAACAAAACTTATATCTGCCCTGAAGGGCTTTTGTAAGATAAATGAGGGGACAGATGTGGAAATGCCTGGCATGCACACATACTCATTGAATGTTGGTCCATGAACCCATATGAGGACCCTATTTCTTAAACTAAAAGTTGGAGCACGTGTTCAAGTGCAAATGTACACATGGGGTCAAGGAGACAGAATATTTGAAAATTGTTTCTGTAAGACACTGTCCTGGTGGGCTTTATAAGGAAATATACCATACCTCAAACCCATTTTAAACGGCATGTCTTGTGTTCTTAGCAGGAAGAGCAAGTGTATGTCTCGGCCTGCTCTGGGCCCCGCCATCCCTAGCGTACCTGGATTGAACAGCGTGCTAGTTGAGATGTGCTAGGCTATGCAGTAGTAACAGACAATTCCCAAATCAAAGTGATTTTATGCAACCAAAGTTTATTTCTCAGCCATACTGCATATCCAGTGCAGGTTGGTGGTATTTGGGGGGTGGAGGGTGAGACTTGCCTACTGTAGTCCCTCCAGGACCCAGGCTCACAGAGGTTTCATCTGACTCCTGCCTGCCCAGTCGCCGAGGCAGGAAACCAGCTCCTGTTCGGAAATGACACGCCTTGTTTCTACTTACATTTCAGTGACCACAGCAAGCCACCTGGTGTATTAATCTGTTGCTTTGTGACAAATTACCCCAAACTTCGTGACTTTAAACAATAGGTATTTTCTCACAGTTTATTCCTCTGGGTCTGGAACCCAGGAGCAGCTTAGCTGGATGGTTCTGACTCAGGGCCTCTCATGAGGCTGCAGTCAAGGTGTTGAGCTGGTATCAAATCATCTGAAAGCCCACCTGGAGGGGCTCCACTTCCAAACTCACCCCACGGCTGTTGGCAGTCCTTGGCAGATGGGCTCTCAGGCTGGCTCCCATGGATCTCTGTACAGGGCTAACCTCGGCATGGCCTCCCTGGAGCAAACAACCCAAGAGAGGATAAGAGCACCTGAGACAAAGCCGCAGTCTTTTTATAACCTAGTCTCACAAGTGACACCTCATTGCTTCTGCTGCATTTTGTGTGTTAGAAGCAAGCCACTTGTTTCTGTACACTTGGAAGAAGGGATCATTTCTCAAGGACGTGAATTCCAGGGCTGGGGATCGTTGGAGGCCGTCTTGGGCACTGCCCACTGTATGTGGTCATGACTCAACTGCGTGCCCGAAAGAGGACACTGTGTTCCTGTGCAGCTTAGCGAGTTGAGAAGCCATTTTTCCTTTCTCTCTGAAAACAGTGCAGGAAGCCTTTCCAGCTTCTCTGTCTCATCCCGATCTATTCCCAGGATCAATAAGAACTCTCAGTCCCCTGGTGTTCAATTCATCATCTCTTGACAGGGCTAAATTTACTAATTCACCCCAAAGACATCATCTGGTTTTAAATCCAATCAAGTCACTTTGTGATTCACTCCATTAATCCCAGTGATATATTTACTTGTAGCTAATGATGTTACAAATTTCCAAACGGGGGAGAAAAATCAAATGCAGCCTTATTCGTTTGTTCGTTTTAAAGTGCTGGGTCTCTTCAGGAGGTGATTGAATGCTGCTGTTTTGTAGCCCTTGGTTGGCCCTTTGAACCCTATTCCTAGCAGGTGGGATGACTGGTGGCCTGGTCAGAGAAGCAACCCATGGTGACAGTCAGCTGCCATCTTGCTTCTACGGACAGAAAGCCAGCTTCCGCCACTGCACCAAAGGCAGTACAGGACAGGAGTAGCAAAGGAGGGGAGGAAAGGGGGCACCCTCCCAGTGCATGGGGAAGGCTGCTTGCAGGGAGAAGGCAAGTGTATAGGCAGCCTATCCTGCCCTCAGTGTATTAGCAGGGCCCCCTTGAATGAAAGCTTGTGGAATACCAGCATCCCTGAGCTGGAAAGAACCTCAGACATCATTCTCTTCCAACTCTTGCATTATGTAGATGAGGAAACTGATGCCTAGAGAGGTAAAGGGATGTACCCAATCCAAGGGGTGTATCTATATAAAACCCAGGTCTCCGAGCAAGCATGTGGAGACACCCCTCGCCAAGATTCCTCTTGGGAATGAAATAGCATCTTTTTCTCAGTGACTAGAATGACCAAGAGGTAGACAGGTGGCTGGAGGGGGCTTAGCCCATCCACTCGCAACCCCCTCTGTATGCCATTCCCTTGCTCAGGCCATCCCCTCAGTCTGGAGTGCCGTCCCCAGCCATTCTGCTCAACATCTGTCCTCACCTTTCGAGGCCCAGGTGAGGCAGTGTCATCTGTGGCTCTAGACTCACGAGCAGTTTGAAGCCTCCCATACCTGAGACAGATGGGCGCGTTTCCGTTCCGTCTGGGCATCCTGATGATGGCCGCCTTCTCCCAAAATGAGTTAATAGCGGACTTCCTATCTGATGAGTCTCGAAGGACTGAAGGATGTGTTGTGAGTCACCCTCTTTGTTTGCATCCCTTCTGAAGGCCCCCGGAGGGCTGGTGCCACCCTTTACCAGCAGAGGGCAGAAAAATATAATTTATTCTATTCAGGAGCCAGTCACAGAATTCCGTAGTTGCCAGCAGTTTTCTAATCTTGTGACTGAAACTTGTCATTCTGTCTATGAGTGGATTGGGGCTGTATTTCGAGGAGTCGGTTCTCAGTTCTTTCAGGATGACCCTTCCCTGTCTTTTCCTCACCGACTAAGACAGAGCCCATCTTTCGGGCTGTCCAGCCTATGGGAATGTGCCCTTAAGCATGAATGTACAGGGGCCACGCACACAGCCATATGTTTCTGAAATTCCAGCGGAGAATTGGGCGGGGGACTGGGAAAAGCAGTGGCCTGGGAATTGTGCGAGGTGGGCAAGGCAGGTCCCTGGGAGGCCCTTGTTATGGGGTAGTTGGAGAAGGGCATGTGCCTTTCACCAGGCAGCCTAGCAGCGGCTGAGGAAAACAGGGTGGAAAGGTAGAGACCGGTGAGGGAGTCTGGTTGGAATCTGTGTGTCAGTGAAGCTGGGGCTGCAGGGGAGGTGGTTGGTTGTAGGAACAGGCCAGCTATGGGGCTGCAAGACCCCACGGGCAGCTCCCCAGGAGGGCTCCCCTGGCGGCCCTCAGACACAGGGATTCTGCTGCTGCTGCCTTTCATCGGCGTCTGAGCCCTCTGTGGCTCCTTCGGCCCCTCTTCTTAAAGGGGATAGATGCCTCCTCTGACAGCCTGGGGAAGGAATGATGGTGCCTGCAGAATTTCTTGTCTAGAATATCTTTGTAAAGCTGAGACCAGTCAAGAGCAGGATGTAGGAAGAAAAGGGCCTGGTAGCAGAGTAGACCCCTGAGCACTGGACTGACCAAGCTTCACAGTGTGGGTTTAACAAATCGATGACAATGGCAGCCATGAATTGACCCCTTTTAAAATACATAGAATGCCTCTGGAACCTCACAGATGATGTGTCCTCCTGCAGTGATTATAAGTTCTGAGTTCAAACATCAGACCAAACCTCCATTCACATCCCAACTACACCCCTAACGAGCTGTGTGATCCTGGGGCCATTTCTCCTCATGGGTCTATGTGTGGATGACATGATCACGTTAATCATGCAAAGCAGTTAATACAGTGCCTGCGGAATAGTAAACACACAGTAAAATTAGGTGTAATGAGGAACAGAGAGGTTAACTCACTGCACAGCCCAGGCCTATCTGACCCCAACTGGGCAGCTCACTTCCCTGAAACCTCTCCAGGAGTTTAGCCAGAAGCCTGCCCCCTTCCATGGACAGAGGCCTTGCTGAGATGCCCTGACTGCCAGCACTTCCGTACAGACTGGCCCTAAGGCACACCAGCCCGCTCTGTTACAGCTGCACAGCATTTGCAGCTGCAGCAAGATACGTCCATCCACTGGCTTCACAGAAAAGGTCGACAAGCAGAGAGCATCCAGCTCTGCCACCCTGGGGCTGGCTGCCACCGCCAGATTCCTTCACGTTGGGCTAACTAGTCCAGTGGCTGGGATTCTGAACCATCCGTGCTGTCCTCCATCCGCACCCCCTCCCTGTCTCCAGTTTCTAATTAGGTCTGGAACTTAATGATACTCTTGGACTTCTTGAGTCTCATAGCAAAAGTTTTACAAAGTAGGTTAGAAAAATAGGTAAATGGACGGAGGAAAACAAAGCAAAACTGCTCAGAGAGCCATAGTATCGTTTACACATCAGTATGGCCTGGGACTTAGTCAGTGTTCCCAATTTGCTTTGATCTCTTCTTCTCGCAGTCTTGGGTATCCTCATGGGTGGCTTGGTTGGTTAGTTTTAAACTGGTTTAACCCCGTTCCTGGGGATTTCTTTCGTTTGAACCAACAATGGTAGTGGTCCTTGGAAATGGAGGGAAATCTCAACGAAGCCCGTACGTTTATATGACCTTCAACAGAGGGAACGGACAGCTGTCAAAGCTTGCTCAACTCACCCGGCGAAACTGTGAAGCCCTCCAAATGTTGGATTCCAAGAATGCAAGAGTCAGAACAATAGCTTTTATAAAGCAGAAATCTTAACAAGCCTACAGACACACATGCAAAGGTAGACCCACCCTGTGCCGGCCTCGTGGTGACCCAGGGGGGTGGCTCTCCCTGCTCCCATCTGCTCCCTTCCCAGCATTTTTCCTCAGCGCCTGGAATGACCAAGGGGCAGGCAAGTGGCTGGAGGGAGCTTACCCAGGACACTCACAGAGTCCGCTGAGGATGCCAGGCCTTTGCTCGACTGTTCCCACAGCCCAAGATACTGTCTCCACCCTGTCCTCGACATCTTTCCTTATCCATGGTTCTAGCTTCATTGGCAATTTGATGCATTCTAAGTAAATGAGACAGATTGGTGCTCTTCAGTTGTGTTCTGGGCATCTTCCTGACAGCAGCCTTCGCCAAAAGGCTGAAACTGCAGTCATTTTGTAAGATCAAGACACTAACTAGAACCAGGTAGAAACAGAAGTAGAGAGATTTTCACGCCTGGCCCCCTACCTGGACCTAAAAGAATACCATTGCTATTCTAAGCCTGCCCGGGACCACTTTTCTTAAAGGGTATGATTTTTTTTTTTTTTTTTTGCGGTACGCGGGCCTCTCACTGTTGTGGCCTCTCCCGTTGCGGAGCACAGGCTCCGGACGCACAGGCTCAGTGGCCATGGCTCAGGGGCCTAGCCGCTCCACGGCATGTGGGATCTTCCTGGACCGAGGCACAAACCCGTGTCCCCTGCATCGGCAGGCGGACTCTCAACCACTGCACCACCAGGGAAGCCCAAAGGGTATGATTTTTTATTTCCTAAGCCTTTTGTACTAGTCAGGGTAGGCTGAGTTATGCTGCAGTAACAAACACCCCCAAAATGTCAGTGACTTGGAAATACTAAAGGTTTATTTCCTGCTTGTGTTATATACCCGATGCAGGTCAGCAGGCACATCTTGTTCATTGTAGCTTCTCAGGCATCATCTTAGGGAGAATTCCACATGCTTCGTGATCAGGCAGGAAAAAAGAGCATGGGGAATCATGCACCAGCTCATACACATCTCCACATGCAAGAGACACGTGTCTCCTCTCTTGCATTTCATTGGCAAAATTCTGTGGTGTGTGGCCACACCTAACGCCACAGTAAGGGAGGTGAAACCCTCCTCGTTCTCAGAGGAGGAGACCCAAGTGCAGACATGGATAATGTCTAGCGGACATGCTTTGCCAGGCCACGTAGAGACCTCCCCTTCAGCCCAGGTAATGCTAGAACAATATCTGCTGAGCGATGACAGTTGCCAGGCAGGGGGTGGGGGGTGGGGGTGGATATTCATCTTAAATGGCCAAGATGCCTCCTGAAAATACTATTCATTGTAGAGATGGGTAGAGAAAAGAAGTGCCTCAGAAAAGACATTTCTCAGGCTGGTGTCAAGCATTCGTTGTCTTCCCAAGAGCCACCAAAATTGGGCTGAAGCTCCACTCACGAGGTTGACCAGTCCTGAGGGCAGCACGCTCCAAAGCTGAGTGGTTTCTTCTTAGCCTGTTATTTCTCTCCCTGCCACCATCCTCTGGATAATTGAAATGGAGGGGAAAAAAAATCAATACTTCCCAGAATAGTCAACTGTGATTTTCCTGGCTCTGCAAATCCCTGCCCTCCGCGCATCTCCCTCCAGACCCGTTCCCCGCCCCTTCCCCAGAGGCAGGTGTGCTCTGATGCTGACAAAGATCCGGTACCCTCCCCTGTCTTAGGGATCGCGAGTGCGTGTCGGCTTTCCACCCACAGGCACAGGCCTACAGGGAGCGAGTTGCCAAATTCACATAAACATCCACCTCCCCCAGCGCGGCCCCTCTCACGGGGATGTTTTCTCACACATAGAACAGTCTCTGACTTCCTATCTAAAATATGACTTTCTACGTGCTACTGATTTTGTTCTCCCAAACAACTGCCAGGATTTCTCTCTCCCTACTGGCTCACATCTGCTGGATTTATGGGGCCCAAAGACAAGGGAGGGAAATACTGTAGCTCCCTTTTCCCGTCTTTTGTTTTCATTCATTGCTTGGCAGTAGGTGAGGAAAAATAGTAAGCGATTGGTGCAAACAGTCTTGCTTAGCTACCCAAGGTGGTGTGACTTCCTTTTCTCTTCTCTTGTTTGCATAAAGATGCTTTCCAGATCACCCTGTGTTTTCCCATGCCATACTCCTTTTTAAAAAAGTCTGTACCTTAAAACTCCCGTTTATATAAATATATCCCTAAAAGTAAAACATTAAGAGCTCCCATAGATAAGAGCCGACTCTGTGTCAGGTGACACTTTTTCATTACCTCTCATCCTGGAAACCACCGTCCATGACTGCCATCTGTATTTCACAAATGATGAAACTAAGGGTCAAGGAGGGTGAGTAACTTGCCTGGCATCACATGCTAGTAAGTAACAACGCTGGGATTCAACCCCAGGCCCACTAGAGTATACACTCTATAGAGTATATACTCCTCTCCGGCATGAAGCTGCACAAAAGCAACTGGCCCGTTCAGGTGCCCTGGTTATTGCTGCTGGGCTCATGTCAGGGTCTCCGGGACAGAGACTACCGATGTTGCAAAGGCCAACTTGCCAACTGTCAGAAGAGCTGGTGGCCTTACCCATTGCACAAAGCATGGGAATTATCCACCAAGGGCCCTCCAGGGAGCCCAAAACAAAGCCC